AAGGTTCTGCAGTATAAAGGTTTGGAAAGTACTGCGAACTGAGAGATACGAAATGGAGTCTGGAGTGCAATCTTCATTCCACCAAATACTCAAACATTACAATCACCCGGGGCATGTATAATAGGCCAATCTGTGGCCGCCGTGCCGAGTGGACCCAGCTAGTCTCCCCCCCCCCCACTAAGCGAATTGTAGACGGGGTTTGGATTGGAAATTGGATTTACTGAACACTCACAGATCGTAACTACAAGTAACTATAGCACCATCGTTAACACACACACTCCTGCACTCACTACAGCACGTACTAAGTCTTCTCAGTCTGCTGTGTTTTCACCAGTCATTGCCTGGTTATGGATCCCAATAATGTTCTCCGCTTCCGTGCTCACATTCTTACCGACTAACGACGGTCCCACAGCGAACTCATTCAGAGTCAGAGTAAGAGTCAGAGTTACTTTACGTTGGCAGTTTACCGCCAATCATTTTCTCTTAGCGCCAAGGATCACGATAAGAGATATTTTCAACTGAACACCTGCGGTAAAAGTCCTTATGTAACATCCTCTCTGACGGGAGGATGCGTTTGTCTCTCATGAATATCCTACACTATGATATTAACCATGCTAACCACTATTATAAACAAATAGCACAAACAGCGAAAACAGTACGAATAGCAGCATGGAATCCCAACGGGATAAACAACCATATTGAGGAAATTACTTATTTCTAAAAACAAATAAAATAGACATCCTACTCATATCAGAAAGCCATACTACTGAACAAAGCGTCATCAAAACACCTTATTATACAGTCTACTATGCCAACCACCTTGATGGGACAGTCCACGCAGGCTCAGCTCTAATTATCAAAACAAAGTCGAAACACTATGCAATAGAACCATATATCACGAACAAAATACAAAGCATAATAATAAAGCTAGAATCCATGGCCCGACCTATGGGCATCTCTGCAACATACAGGCCCCCAAGACATGCCATCTCCCATCAAGAATACGAAGACTTCCTGTTCCAGCTTGGTCCACACCACCTAGTGGCCGGCAACTGGAACGCCAAGCACACTGCATGGGGCTCCAGACTGATCACACCTAAGGGTAGGAATCTGTTGAATGTTATACAACAAAACAACCTGAACTACATATCAACAGGAGAGCCAACATATTGGCCTACTGATTTAAATAAAACACCGGACCTATTAGAAAGGCCTTTCCGGCATTCACAGCTCTATAGAAACTAACCTACACATGTCATCAGACCACAGTCCGATCATAATAACACAAAGTAATCACGTAATCTGGAAGGAACCACCACAACTTTGTAATAGAAATACCAATTGAGCACAATTCCAAGGTTACATCAACGACAACATTGCCCTAAATCTCCGACTAAAAGAAAACCAAGATCTTGAAGACGCAGTGGACTACATAACCAAACTAATACAAACAGCTACATGGATATCCACACCAGAAATGAAAGAGACAACTCAAGAAACCCATAACGTTACACTACACATCAGGGAATTAGTCTACAAAAAACGCCAGGCAAGACGCAGGTGGCAAAATAGCAGAAACCCACTAGACAAAACAGAACTGAACAAGCTAACTCACAATCTACGATCAGCCATAAAACAAGCCAAAAACGAAATGTTCAAAACTTATATTACAAACTTATCACCAGACGACCACTCGCTGTGGAAAGCCAAAAAGAAATTTAGAAGACCAACACTTGCAATACCACCGATTAGAAAACAAGACAGAAGCTGGCCACGGACAACTAAAGAGAGAACAAACTTATTCACTGAGCACCTTGCAACGGTCTGTACACCAAACAACGAAAATAACAACAATAACAATAACAACAGGGAGGACGAGTCGAAACCTTCCTAAACTCTCCCTGTCAGCCATCGCCACCGATAAGAGCCTTCTCACCAACAGAGGTCAGCAGTTTGATAAACCTGCTCAACCCTCATGAGGCACCCGAATACAATCTAATAACAGGCGCTCTACTAAAGAATCTCCCACGAAAAGCCACTGTACTACTAACAACTATTTACAGCAGCATGATGCGACTATGCTACTTTCCTGTGCAATGGAAGTACGCCCAAATCATAATGATACTAAAACCCGGAAAACCACCAACCAAAATCAGTTCGCACAGACCGATAAGCCTACTGCCCACACTATCCAAAGTATTCGAACGACTCATCCTTAAAAGACTTGCAGAAACAACATCTACTAATGACATAATCCCTACGCACTAATTTGGCTTCCGAGCAAATCACTCCAAAATCCAACAGTGCCACAGAATGGTTAACAAAATAAAAGAAAGAATCGAAGGAAAGAAAACATGTACCTCGGTCTTTCTTGACGTTCAGCAGGCCTTTGACAAAGTATGGCACAAAGGATTACTGTATAAACTAAAAATGAATCTATCCGTACAATTATATCTTACTATAAAATCGTACTTGAACGAACGTTACTATCAAGTCAAAATCGACGATGAATTATCCGGATACCATCTAATAAGAGCAGGAGTTCCACAGGGCAGCGTCTTGGGCCCCTTTCTGTACCTAATCTGTACAGCTGACGCCCCACTAACAGACAATACGCTAATGGCAACATTCGCCGATGATACAGCAATAATGTCATCAGACCAAGATCCAAATACAGCATCCCAAAAACTGCAGCAACACCTCACCTCACTCCAAAACTGGATGGAACAATGGAAAATCAAAGTAAATCCTGCAAAATCCTCCCAAATAACATTTACAACAAGAAGAGCTGTCTGCCCGCAAGTAAGTATCAACAGCACCCCCATACCCATCAAACTAGAAGTTAAGTATTTAGGACTCCACCTTGACGAGAAACTAACGTTGAGAACGCATATAAAAGCTAAGCGAAGTCAACTAGAGCTCAAAACCAGAAATATGAATTGGCTAATCGACAAAAAATCACAGCTATCTCTTGAAAACAAAGCAATCCTATACAAAACGATAATCAAACCAGTCTGGACCTATGGGATAGAATTATGGGGATGTAGCAAACCTTCCAACACAAAAAATCTCCAAACGTTCCAATCCAAAACGCTAAGAAAACTAGTTAATGCTCTCTGGTACGTATCAAACGCTACCTTACGCAATGATCTAAGCATACCATATGCAACAGAAGTCATCAGAGCATACGCGGAGAAACACAAAAACCGGACCACCCAAAACAACAACCAACTAATAAGAAACTTCTTCAACCAACAAGCAATAGAAAGAAGACTAAATAGAATGTGGCCAGAGAATCTCATTAGATAAGCACCAGAGAATCATCGAAGGATGACACCTGGTTCAACATTACACATACCCATCCCCTTTACTAATTACTCTATTTATGTACATTGAGTAGATTGTAAAATTATTTTAAAATAAAAAAAAAGTAAAAAAAAATTAATATGCTTGGCCTTTGTCAAGTGTACATTTCCCATGTACAGCATGTTACTGAAAATTCTTTCTTGTGCACTATACGCAAAACTTCCCTCAATCCAGGCTTTGCAAAACAGGTCATGTTTACCTTACTTATCTTATGCTACAACGGCAGCGTAATCACTTGAACGGTCGTAAGCTTGACCACCGCCCAGGTTTAAGCCTCATATTTTGTACCTACGGAGTTGTTATTATATACTAATTTTTCAATTTTATGAATTGTATATTTTAGACTGCTATCGAATTGTATATATTATGATTTAGTTTTTACAACATGATTGTGACAATGATAACTATTTACCTGCTTTAGTTATTGCAGTACATATAGTAACATGACATGTTCTGCATCCTAGGCACATTGTGACCAGAGAGGATTCATGTTATTTTAAAATGAATGAATGAATGAATGAAGGAATGAATATTTTTTACGTCTGGCTTCGCCTTGTCCTATACCGCGAACATATTCATTCTCATAGTTTTATATAAAACAATACATACGGAAGGTTGAAAACTGTGTGCAAATCGTGGACCGGTGTACACCTTGGGAAATTTGCAGTGGTGGTGAGAACCCTGCTTCGCAGGAGCTGCACTTTTATGAGGCAGCTGTCTGCCATTAATTCCCAGGCGGGACAAGCGTAAGTCATTGCTGATATAATCAGCGCATTATGGAGAGTTACTTTTATGTTGGCGCTTAAACACTCACTTTTGAATGGGGAGTAGATTCTAATTAATTTTTTGAAGGCCTTGGCTTCCATCATTTCTCCGTGCAGTCGCCATGTTATCCTCTTATGGAAGATTTTTTTCCTTGGCACTATAGCCCCAGTGGGCCTAGGCCTACCTCCATGAACTTCTCCGTTTACTTTGGTTTTTCTAGATCTTACACTTTCGGTAGGACTCCTTGGGAGGGTGATCAGCTCGTCCCAAGGCCTCTATCTGTACACAAACACAGAAAAACGCACACAAACATCCATACCCTGAATGGGATTCGAACCGACGATCCCGGCTTCCGAGCGAGTGAAGACAGTACATGCCTTAGACCGCTCGGCTACCATGACCGACTCTTATTGAAGATTATATAAAGATATTTTACACGATCGACAAATAGGATATCCCGCACACTCAATGTAAGATGAGCCTTGAGGGGTGGCTAATTATATGAGAAAAGTAGATGGTCCCTGACTTATCTTCATTGATTTTTATGTTCCAGAGCTAACACCACTCATTACTCCAGCTGTCCTGCTCATAACATCTCATCACGGACGGCACAGAAAACGCAATTCCTGTGTTGCTGCTTGCGAGCCGCTGTTGTACAGTCGCCTTCTAGTAACGGGTTTAAATGCCACACTATTATTCACGTATTACTTAAAGCGTAATTCTCTCTTCTTATCTCTAAACAATTCGTTTCCTCGTTAAACTGAAAATAGAGTTGTATTTGCTGGGTGATTAATTTCATAAATCAAGAGAAACAAGTTCCCCAAAATCTTACTAAAATAAATACGATTCGAATTCAGCAGAACACTTACCCTTCACGGTGAGATGGCGGATTGGATCGCGTCTGTTCCTGTAAATTAGAAACAAATAACAGGTAAATTTATGAAATAAAATATAAACAAAGCGGCTAATTATAGCGACGGTCCCAGTATCCGAAACAGTGACATCAGAACCGAGTAGTTCCGTCTGTAAGTGATGAAATTTGTGTGGAAAATGACAGCTTCACAGACAACGTAATACGTAAATGAGGGAAACACACACACACACACACACGCAAGTATCAGACATACAGAGCAAACCTACCCTAATCTCTTTTCTTTTGGGGGGGGGGGATTTTAGGCTACACAGAGTCTAATGGAAGGATGATGGAGGAATTGGAAACGATGTGGAAGAACGTAGTCAACTTGTGATCCACGAACTATCATGGCATTTGCCTGAAGAGACTTAAGTACTCCGTGGCCTGTAGTCCGCAAGCGAACTATATCGATCGAGCGACCGCCGCTTGTCGGCGAAGTTAGTGCCAACTTTAGCGGATAGAGAATGTCACGTGGTCAGCGCAACGATCCCCACGGCCGTTAATCTCGGTTTTCTAGACCGGAGGAGAGACTTAAGTAAAACATGGATAATCTGTCAGGATAGCAGGCGTCCCAGCCGACATTAGAATCGAGTACGATCCTGGGGCTTCTCTACTCCGTACTCCATTTTGTGATGCACCCCCACACTGCGGTCTGACACTATATCCGAAACGTCGCGTGAATTGTGTCCAAAACATTTTAGATGGTGTGCGTGTCACTACGACAACAAAAGAAAATTACTATAGTATGGAGATGGCACGCGGTAGCGTAGTTGGTTAAGGCACTATGCTATAGCCGGAAGGTCGCTGGTTCGATTCCCGATGATGTCATTGGATTTTTAATTTCACCTAATCTTTCCAGCCGTACTATGGCACTGGGGTCGACTCAGCCTGTAAGAGAAATTAGTATCAGGAATCTTCCTGGGGGTAAAGGGCGGCCAGCGCGTAAGGCTGACAACCTAGCAGCCACCTGTCTAGAAAATGTGGGAGCCTCGACATCTCACACCCCTATGGGCCTCCATGGTTTGTTACACTCGGCACGGACCACAGCAGAAAACACGGCCTCTCTATTGTTGTGTGAGGTCACCACGTACTCGAGAATGTGTTTAGCGTGTGCAGCGACTGTCTACAGGATTGAAGACAGAGAGATCGGAGTTCGAGTTCCGGTAGGGTCAAGAATTTTCTTTTCTTCACGTCATCCAGACCGGCTCTGGGGTCCACCCGACCTTCTATCCAATTGGTACCGGGGGTTTTACCCCGGGGATAAAGCGGCCGAGGAGTGAAATTGACCACTAAACTCCGAGGTCAAGGAAACGTAGGCCTATACATCCACCCCCCATACGCTTCAATGGCGTAGTGCTTAATTAGGTAACCAGAGGGGAAACTTTATCTATCTATGGCTCTGCAGCCATTTGTTGGACCTTGGCCGCTCTTTCAGTTTCTTAATCTATGTACAGTCGGTAGGACTCCTTGGATGGGGGATCAGCTGTCGTAAGGCCTTTTGCTACACACAGAACAACATTAACACAGAATAAATGTACACAGACATCCATGCCTCGTGTGGGATTCGAACTCACGATCCCAGTTTTTGAGCGAGCGAGGGCGGTTCATGCCTTAGACCGCTCGGCCACCGTGATCGGCAGGGGCAAATTTACCTTACCATTTACTGGGTACGGATACCTTACGTATGAATATTAAAAGTACCTCTGGTAGCGATGCAAAGTGGCACTAACGCTTATATTTACTACAGGTGAAACCCGACTGTTAGCAACATAACAGTCTCAAAGGGAACTGAAATACTCATGTCCTGTCAAAGTCGTGTGCTTGAATCCCCTGCAAGCCATTATGGGCTTCCTCTCTTCAGTGTATGGTGCACACAGAGTCAAATGGGGCTGCACAACTTACGGGATCTTTCCCCAAACAAGGCCACTCGCATACAGTTAGTTCTATGTGAGGGAACAGTGACCTTATACAGACAATATAGTACAGCTTAACCTCTCCCTGAGCTTAACAATGCTTCCCTCTAGAACTGGCGGCTGAGGGAGGCAGAAATGACTCGGACTGTTGTTTGGAAAGAAGTAAAGGTTCGGCCACACAGAGCGCTACGTACGCTATGTTCGCTATACGAACAGAAAAATATCTCCCTTTATTGCCAACGTGACTGGCCACACAGACTTCCGTACGCTACGTACGCTATGTTCCCTATGTTACCTGCGTCGCAGAGTGTACACAGCGTACGTAGCGGACGTAGCAAACATAGCGTAGCGCTCTGTGTGGCCGAACCTTATAGGGAAGATGTGGTGCCAAATGCAGCAATATGCAACGCTGGTTCTCAGTATATGCAAACTGTTTAACTGAACGTGTAGGAGTGTGACTATAGACTGGGTTTGCATTGGTGACTAGATTTATTGTTCACTTACATGTCGTAACTACAAATAACTTTAACATTAACGCTCGTTTCTACATTCAAAATCACTTCACGCTGTTTTACCTAATCGTTGCTAAATAAAAGTCTCCACAATGGCTATTCCTGTGCATTGTTTTCACTAGATGTTTCCTTGCAACGAATCTTAACAATGAAGATTCTTCAGCTTCCACTGTCCGCTGGTTAACACTCCACAGCTGAAACATCGTGTTTACAAGCCTACATACTCTACTGATTTGTATAGTATAAGCCAATAATGAAACTTGGACTTTTCGAACCTTTCAAACCTCATGCCAAAGATTCGAAATTATTCTTCATGTGGATCCCTCTTCCGACAGCAGTTGTCACGTGTTAGTAACTGGACACAAAGAATCAATTATGAATCAACAGAAGCTGCCGTACACTGAGAAAAATCTAATGACCTCACTGCGAACAGAACCCGCGACCTTCCGGTTTGTAGCATAGTGGTTTACAGCTCCCTTTCCCCCTTTTGTCTGTTTTATAAGCTCGCAAATCGTCCTGCAGAATAACTGAAACCTCGAACAGAGCAAGACGGAGCGAGAAGACGACAACTTGCTCTGTAGCAGATCACAGTTCATAACTGCAATCGTAATAAACAGAAAGAAGTAGGAAAATGTTTATATAAGCTGGAAGTCGAGAGTTCCATATACAAAATAAATATTACGTAACTGCATAATGGACAGAGATACTAATCCGTAACTACAGCGAAAACGAATTACCTACCGCCAGTTCAGAAATGTTTATTTTGCTAGCAGAAAGTTATTTATTTTAAATTAGTTATATCTGGTTTATAAAATCATCTTTTTCCACGACAGAAAAATGGGGGCGTACATTATGAAATGGGCGCACTGAATGAGTGGATATTACGATCCGTCCCATTATGGAAACATTATCCCTGTTCAAATTACAACACGTAGTGGGGTAATTGGGTTGGAAAATCACTGTACTGACCACACCTCACCTCCGGGATTCCATTAATTTCGTAATGTAGCTTATAACTATCATAGTACCACAATAAAATAATTTCGAAACGTCGGAACTTTGGGATTATCATTGGAAAAGAATGGGATTCAGAGGGCGGAGGGATCAGAAGTGTTTCCTGGTCCCGTACATATTTAACCAAACGAAGTAACAGTGGCCTATATCCTTAAAGCGAATATTATCATGTTGAGATCCTAATTTAGGTCTAGGATCCCCCAAAATATGTCAGTTCAGATATGTATTCATATACCACTTTACAGGAAAACACTGTATTACTTTCGTCGAATAAGCTGGTCTGCACGTGTTCTCCTCGCATCTCAGCCTAACCACCCATGATACTGACAGGATTTTCGTGGATTTCTAAGGCCCTGCAGGAGAACTGCGAGATTTTAGCTCCAATACGCCACGACTGGTCCCTTCCTAGTCCCTTCCAATTTACCATTCATTAAACTCGTGCTACATACGTATAATCTACATCAGTGATTCCGAAACCCTTTCAGTGTGCGGAGCGCCTTGACATTATGTTACTGTCTGCTGAACATCGTGGAAATTTGTCTCTTTCTGCCATCATTCAACCTAGGAAAAATATTAGTAGAAGGAGTCAAGTTGTCATATTACATCACCACAAAAACAGTACAAAGAAAGGTAAAGCTATCCCTGTAAGAGGCCGTGGAAACCCACAGGGTTGTGAGACGTCGATGCTCCCACATGTTCTACATAACTGGTTCACAGATGGCGGTGAGGTTGTCAGCCTTACGCGCCGGCCGCCCTTTACCCGAAGGAAGATTCCTGGTACTCATTTCTGTTAGAGGCTCAGTCGACCCCATGGCTATAGCTCGGCTGAAAGGATTAGGTCAATTGAAAAAATCCACCGCATCGGGACTCGAATCCGCGACCTTCCGGCTTGTAGCATAGTGCCTTAACCAACTTTACACAAACCTCATACCATTGGAGACCATCCCGGCGCCGTACTCTTGAATTTCCCATAGTGACAATATGACAGACGCACGAACTTGTGAATAAAATAGAAGTTTGTGTATGTGAGGCACTATGTTACAAGCCGGAAGGTCATGAGTTCGATTCCCAATGAGGTCATTGGATTTTTTAATTGACGTAATCCTTCCGGCCGCACTACGGCCTTGGGGTCGACTTAGCCTCTAACAGAAATGAGTACCAGGAATCTTCCTGGGGTTAAAGGGCGGCCGGTGCGTAAGGCTAACAACCTTACCGCCTTCCGTCAGCCGACTGTCTAGAAAATGTGGGAGCCTCGACGTCTCACGACTGTATGGGCCTCCAGGGCCCGTTATGGGGATACCTTTAACTTTTTTATGACTTTTCTCTATACCAAATTCCAAACACCTGGCTTTATTAGTTTATTGGTTATCGCCATCAAACCGAAAAAAAAAATTTAAAAAAATCGTACAGCCTCCGTATTGTTTACAGTTAAAAATGATTATTTCATATTTCATTCAACGCAACAATTAAAAAGGTATACAGATGACCTATTTACATGACGGTCGTATATCTGCGGCACATGTTTCGAGCCCTAATGGGTTATCATCAGGTGCTG